CTGTCACATCATTTTAGAAAGTGCTGGAAAGGATCCAGAGAGCAACTTTTCAACATCTGAAGGGCCTACAAGGAGCCAGAGAGGGACTCTGTGTTAGGAACTGCAGGGACAGGACAAGGGGCAATGGGTTCAAACTGAAGGAGGGGAAGTTTAGGTTAGATATTAGAAAAAAAAATTTTCCCTGTGAGGGAGGTGTGACACTGTCCCAGGTTGCCCAGGTAGGCTGTGGCTGCCCCAACCCTGGTGGTGTTCACAGCCAGGTTGGCTAAAGCCTTGAGCAATCTGATCTAGTGAGGAGATGTCCCTGCCCAGGGCAGGGGTGACAAAATTAATTTCCATGCTCAAACAGCTCCTAATGGAGTACAGAGGTAGGACACACAACATTTTGAAAGGCATAACACAGAAACAATTATTAATATGATTAATGGGGTTTTTAAATCCCTTTAATCCAGGGATGATAGTGTCACCTGTGTGTGTCTTGCCCTGGCACCCATGGTTTCGGGAGGCTCATGCCAAGGGCTGCAGTTGGTGTTTGGCTGGACATACCTGCTCTGCTTCAGTTTGTTTCAAGCACTTTCTGTGTTTGCCGTGTAAGCACAGTAGAGATCTCCTGTTGGCAAAGAGGATGGAGTGTGTGTCTAGGAAGGGTAACTAGCCTTGCAGAGCTTTCAGAAGCACTGGTTGTTGGGTACTTCACTGTCTGCCTTTAAATTGCAGGCAGACTAATTCGTCAAGTGCACATTTTCATAGCTGAAACAAGTAATGAAAAACTGATTTTTCTCAGGTTCTGCTTTCAGGGCAGCAAATAAATGTTTTAGAGCTTAACTGCTCTGTGATTTTGAGTGTGTCACTGGTGAAGCTACTTGAGCATTTCTCGGGATTACTAATAGAACAGCTTGGAGAAGAGTGTGCTCAGTGCACAAAACACACTTAGCCTTTCAGTTTGCCGCGGTAGCTTTGGTCGCCGGGCCAGGAGTGCCTGGGCTCACTGCATGGCCACACACAGCTCTCCTCACACAGCCTGGCAGCAGCACTGTCTGAGCAGGAACACTCGCTGCTCATCTGCAAAGTGAGACTAGATATTTTGCCATTTTAACAGCAGTGTGCGTTCCCCATCATCCGCTGCTCCTCCCCTGTCCCTGCTCCTCTTAGTTTGCTTTGCATTGCAGTGCCACCTTTGATTTCATCCAGTATTTTGGGCAGCATTTCAGCCTGCTGAGTTGCAGAGTGTCTTCAGAACTTGAGCACTGTTGTGCTCAGAATGGTGTAGAGAATTCCTCAGTTTGCCAAGCACTTTATTTACAGTGTCAGAAAATAAGGACATGCTAAGCTGAGTGTTAGGAGTTTGAGATCCACAGAGGAGTCATTCTTAATGACTGGCAGAGGATGGCACTGAACTTTCTGTTCTCACTGTGCTCTAGTTGTTTGGCCTGTTTGGATGAATGGTGCAAATGCATTTATGCTGTTCAGGAGACTAGTAACCAGGAGTTTTCTGTACAGAAGATGTTCTGTGGAATGATTATTTGGTTTCATCCGTTTTGTGCCTCACAGTAGTGAAATGCAACCTGGGCCATTGGCACTTTTGAATTACACAGCCAGAGTCCTGCAGCATGCAAAAGCTTTTACCATCTGGAAAAGGCTGCTCCTGGTTTGTAGGGCTGTGGGAAATGTGTCTCCCCAGTTGCAGAACTGGAGCCTTCACTGGGCCAGAGGGTCACACGGGGCATTAGTTGTTGTCTTCAAGAGGTTAATCACTCCTGGGGTCTTTCTCACTGCAAGCTATAGGGAGCAAGTCACTAACCAAACAGTGGGTTACAGGCCTGTGTTCGTGGAAGGACACACATTTGCTATCAGCCTTAAACATTCTCTGTAGTTGCATATAGTTCAGAGATTTCCATTTCTTTTTTCCACTTGGCTCTCGTGTATAGTTCAGAGATATCCATTTCTTTTTTCCACTTGGCTCTCGTATGAGCCTAATGAACTCTCAAGTGAAGTGCTTTCTGAGAAGTAATAGATCTCCCAATACATTTTCTTTATACTTCTATGTACGAACAGTTGTCATAATTTTAACAACACTCCAAGCACTGTATGTCACTGTAGAGAATCATTTGTCTGACTACATCCTGTCCGTGGTCCAAATGTGCAAACAGCTCAAGTCATATATATGGGTCTCCCTACCTTCCAACTGCAAGAGCAGAATTCCTTCTGCAAGCCAAATAATATATTCTGGAAGTTAAGAAACACTCTCTGCGGGATTATAGCCCGAGTTCAGTGGAGTCATCACAAGTCCTGCCACAAGCCAAATCTGTTTGAAATAAAGGGGCAGAAAGACACAGTCATGTATAAGCAGCAGTTTTGAAGCCACTGACCGTGGAGCTCGTGTGGAGGCAGCGATGCTTGTCCCTGCAGTGCATGTCCCAGAGGTGAGCTGGGTGGCAGGGGGTAATGCCCCTCCCTACCAAGCCAGGCTCACGGTCGAGATGGGAGAGGAATGCTGCTTTTCTGCTTAGGAGATGCTCTGAATTGTGTCAAGTCCATCTGTGTTCGATTTCCTCTGTCACAGAGCTGAAATACAGAGGCAGACACTTCCATTTCCTTCAGTGGCCCAGGCATTGTCTTCTGACTGAGAACAGTGACTTGAGAAACAATTTGCTTTACAGAAATGCTCTACATAAAGAGAATTGTTAAAGAAGAGTGAAAGTGTAAAGCCAAGTGTCACAAGTATTTCAGGAGTTAGGGCCCTAAATTGCCTCGCTGGCTCATTGTTCTTTAACAAATCGGTTGAGGGACAGTCCTGGAGTGCATCTCCCAGTTTACTTTCACCCGAAGTCAATTCAGCTCATGCACTTCAAAGCTCCACAGTGTGAACAAAAGCAGTAAGTGGGGACAATCTAGAGTTTCACCTCCAAGGATGACTGGAATTCAAATGTTCCTATACATACATCCATTGTTTTTCCCTCTGCTCTCTGTGTGCAATGCATGTGGCAGAAAGAGCTGAGATAACGAGCAGCTCTCCAGTAGTGTGGTTCAACCTTTTGTTCCATGCATGGCCTGGCACTGTTTATTGCCTACTGTTCAAGACCTGCTCTGAATCCAAACTTTCCCATGTCCTCACCAGTTGTTCTCAGAGTGCTCATCACAACATACAGAGGTGCTGGGCAGGCCCTAAGTGGAAGTGTGCAGTAGTCACTTCTGCAGGCAGGGCCAACAGGCTGGAGCAGCTAGTGTAAGAGCTGTTGACTCACTTGGGATTCCAAGATTGAAATCCATCAGACTTGAGATCTTTTTCCAGGGATCTGAACATTGCTCTTGCTCAAACCCATCTGTTTTGACCTCTGTTACAGCTGTGAGTGCCCAGCCTTTCCGCAAATCAGACTCCAGACTGTCAAGCCAAACACTGGTAAAATGAAAAAAATGATTAATGAACAAATGTAAAATAAATAGAAATAAGAAACCTGCTGGGAATCTTGAGGCTGAGGCAAGAATGGTTGCTAATTCCCAGGGGCAACGTTTAGGTGCATTTGCCATGCTTGCCTTGTTGGGGAGTCTCTCGTTTCTTTTCCTGCATGCTTCCAGCTCTTGCAACAGATGGCAGAGGAGTTATGTGAGGGACAGATATCTTCAGTGGTCTAGCAGGAGCTGTGCTTGCCTTGGAGTTAGTTTCTGGAAATAAGAGAGACCTAGAACTAAATGAACTTGAGACCTAGAACTAAATGAACTTGGGGCTTCCTGTGGATTTGCATCTTGTGGTTGGTAGGAAGCTTTGGTTGATCTGGTGGAAGCTTTTCCACAGGCTTGAGGTGCTTCTGAGGCTCTCCTCCCTGTGAATTCCTGTCTGTAGTGACACAGGAATCGATGTTGTGGTTTTGTTCTCAGCAGGTCTTCTGTCCTTCAGCCTGCACTGAAATGTGGGCACTAGCACTGAGTCAGTTCCTCTGGTGAGTGTCACTGAAACTCTGAAAGTTCTTAAAGGTTTTATTGTGGGGCTGGAAAGGGCAGCAGCATGAAAGAGGCCTTGGTACTATGGAAATCCAGTCTGAAGGAGCAGATCATCATGTAACTAAAGGACTGGAGCGTAACACGTCGGCACCAAGGGTCCAAGCAAAGCTCACAGAGACAGTGTCAGTTGATATTGCTCAACTCTGGAGTCCTTGATGCTATAACCATAAAAGTTCTGCTTTTAGTGTAGCTCTCCCCCACCCCTGTAATCACCCAGGCTTAGAAAAGCAAACCGTGGTGGAAAACCCTCTCGTGTAGCACACCCTGGGCAGGCAGGGCAGGGTGTGATGTCTGTAGCACCTCCCCAGGACAGCTGTCGGGGCAGCCTGGACTGCAGGGTAGGTAGGAGCCTTTTGTGAGCAAGTTGAACGTGTCTGTTGATAGTGGGAAGATCTGAAGGACTGGAGAGGGCACATGTGCATGATTCCTAAATCCGTCTCGCTCCGTTCTTTATCCCAGTGCAGAGTTCTGTTGTGCATCGTCTGTCCCTGGTTACACCTGGGAGACCAGTGTTGTTTGCTCTAAGTCCCTCTCTGAAACTTCCAGAAAACCAGTTGCTGAAGAAACATGATTTAGCTGTCAGGTTAGCCCTGCTCTGAGCCTCCTGGCATCCCTGCTCCCCTCAGTCACTCCACACCATGTCCTAGAACGTTCACACGGATGTGCCAGTGCCATGAGCCAAGAGATGCTGGTGAGCAGTGCCTGTGTGCTCAGCCCCAGCTCTGAGCAGGGAGGTGGTGCTGCCAGCCCACAGGGAGTGCTGTGCCTGAGTGCCTGTCATGCTTAGCCCAGCCCTGAGCACTGCTGTGTCCCCCTGCAGATGCTTTACTGCCAGTGATGCATCTGAGTCTGGGAGCACTTGGGAAGTTTCTGTGGAGTAGCTTCTCTTCTATTCTTTAGCAAATGACTGTGTCTGTATCTTAA